CCCTCGGCCTAGGACAGTAACTGGTTTTGTTATTGTTATTTTGCTGGTAACAATGGTGACGAGACTTGGTAGGAAGCTCAGAGGTCAGGCTGGGAGTGGCTGAGTGGTGGTATCAGGAGCAGAAGCACAGCTTGTTTTCCCTGAGGCCCTCTGGGAGAGAAGTACCACCTGCATCTGGGCAGAGCCCTTGTGGAAGAAATGGCATATCTCCTGGGGGCTGAGGAGCCTGGAGCACCGGCTCCTCTCTGGTGCTCCCTGTGACCCCTGGCTCTCCCTGGTGGTCACTGGATGTTGCCCTGGGCCAGCATCACTGCCCACCTACACCTGTTTAGTTTGCTATCATTTTCTTCCATTTCCTCTTCTGTTGTACAATTCTGTAAACATTAGTTTCCAGGATTGAAACAGCAGGGAGAAATCTCAGAGGTCATGCAACCTGTTTCCCATCCCAGATCACCTCCAGCCACGAGTCCTCCGGAGTGGTGATGCTATCTCTGGCAAGGCAATACCCTGCTATCTTAATTTCCTCTAGCTGCCCGCTAGGCTGTTCCTTTTCCCCTCTAGAGGCATCAGGGAAGCGGGCCAGGCCCTCATCTAAACAACCCTCTTAGCTTAGTAAGCCACCCATTCTCCAGGCTAAACAATCCAAGCACAATTAGCCCTTCCCCTCTCGGGTTCTATTTTTCCAAGATTTCAGTAATTTACCCTGCGCTTCTCTGGGTTTTAGGGTGCAACCCTAGAATGTCAGAATTTCAGAACTGCAAGCAATTTGGGACATGATGGGAAGAAACAGAGGTTTGAAGCCCCACATTCCACAGCTGCCAGGACAGGAAGGAAGCCAGTCATTGTCCCTTCCAGGTGTCCTTTCCATTCTTCCTTTGGCAGAGGAAAGTCCTTGTTCATTTCCTCTAGAGCTGTATATTAAACAAAAACTTACTGAGCAGTTTGTACACATTTGCCTGATTGTTACTTTCCTTAATCCCTCTGTGGTCCTGCCAAGAAGCTAGGATCAGCCTTGTTTTGTAGGCAAGGAAACAGGCTCAGGGAAATTAGGTAACTTACCTGAGTTCATACAGCAAGAAAGTCCTGGGGCTCCTCTATCGTACCTGCTACTTTCACCCTGATTGGCCTTGCCATCAAAGAGCCATCTGCACCGGGCCTTGGGAAAGCTCTTCTCTCTCCCTAGAAACCCATCCTGGCCCCAAAGAGCCAGAGGTGGGCCATAGTGGAAGCAGTCAGGATTCCATGGAGAAACAAACATCATCAAGATAGGCATTTATATGAAGAGACTGGTTTCCATGATTTGGTTCAGAGGATTGTAGGAGCTCACAAGTCAAATTCAGAAAGCAGGCCATCGTGCGGGAAGCTTGGGCAGGGGCTATGGCTACAATTTTAAGGCAGAATATTTTCTTTGGGAACACTTAGGTTTGAAGGTTTGAACCGTTTGGGGCTTTGAACTGATCAGATTACGCACACCCACATAACTGAGGAGAATCTCTCTTAGTTAAAGTCAGCTGGTGGTAGGTGTTGACCACATTCACCAAATACTCTTGAAGCAACACCTAGATTCATGCTTGATGAGGTCACCAGCTCCTACAGTTTAAGCAAGTGATACACAGAGCAGAAAACCCCAGTTTCTTTTGTATGTTGATGTGGAGCCAAAGACAGATGTCAGCCTGCTTCAGTGACATTTTCACAGCCAATATCAGGAAGGCGACTTGTACACCTCCTCACTAGGAAGCCATTCTAGGTCATGTTTGGTCCCCAGCCTCAGTCCGCTATCATCATCTTTGAGAAGACCTCCTAGTTAGGACCAAGTGTGTTCTCAGGGGTAAAAGGTGCAGAGAGAGCCCAGAGCTGCTCTTGGAGTAGAGTGGAGGATGCTTTACCCTGCTTAAGTTCAGAGGGACATTTAGGCTAAAGACCATTAAGGGTGTGGACAATGTTTTCTTTTTTACTCAAGATTGGGACCATGCCTGGCCCACTGGTGATGTGCTACAAATGTTTGCTTCTTTCCCTCACTCTGGGTTTAGGGTGCGACCCTAGAATCACAGAATTTCAGAACTGCAAGTGATTCGGGACATGATGGGAAGAAACAGAAGTTTGAAGCCCCACATTCCACAGCTGCCGGGCCAGGAAGGAAGCTGGTCACTCTCTCTTTCAGGTGTCCTCCCCATTCTTCCTTTGCTACCTGGAATATTCTAGACAGGTAGAAGTCAATCCCGTTTTTTAGGCACTTCCAAGAAAGGAATTATGATAGCTGGGCCATTGCTTCCCAACCTAGAGAGGTTGCCCGACTCTGTCATCAAAAACCCTCCAATTTCAAGTACACAGAGTCATATTAGGATAGCAGAGATGAGAAAACTAGACTTCAGGCATTCTATTACTGCCATAAAAGTCTGAACCACTGCAGCCTTCACATTGCTGCCTATAGCCAGGGGCGCTCTAAGAGGACCTGGGCCCCAAGAAGTCAAGGGAAGCACAATGCATTGGGACCTTACAGAAATGACTGCCTCTTAACTTGTCCTTTGTGTCCCTCAACTCCAACTGCAAAGTAAACTATCAATTCCAGTGTTATTTAACAGACTCAAAGAAACACTGCCTGTGTTACTGGTTCTAAAGCTAGAAATGGATGACTAGAATGAGAGCGATTGTGAAACAATTTGCCTTCTAGGTCTTTTGAAGAGTATGTAGTTCTTTACACACACACACACACACACACACACACACCTCTTTCTTGTTGGAAGACAGAGGGATGGATCAGCTGAGATCCCATGGGAGGTAGAGGAGTTTATTCCTTTTAAGAGAAGTTGATTGGTGGCATTGCCAGGCCACCTTAGTGGGTGGGCAGTGTGCTGCCCCACCTGTGGAATCCAGGGAGGAACCGGGAGGGGATGGCTTCAAGATGCCTCGTGAAAGAAGCTGGGGAAGAGGCCTGGGTTGGTGTAGGTGGGCGTGGGAAGAGAGGACTCAGACTGCGTGGGGCTGGCTGCAGGGCACACCTGGTCTCAGAGAGCAAACAGGAAGTGGTTGAAGTCCCTCTGCCTTCAGGATTTTGCTCTGAAAGATACACCTGCCAGCTCTTCTTTCCTCCTAAATCTTGAAAGGGATGAGGGAAGGGCTGGTAGCCAAAGCCCTCTGTCACAGCAAGAAGGCTTTCATCTAGACACAGAAAGAACGGGATAAGATAAGCGATGAACCACTGAGGAAGTTCGCAGGATCTCTTTTATTTCAAAGCGCTTAAAAATCAAAAGGCCCTTCTGCTTCAAGGTCCTCCCTCAGCTATTGTGGAGACGCTGATGACCTTTGGGAACTTTTTGCCAGTTTGCATGTGACACACAGGCTCCAGGGGCCACTAAGAAATGCCTTTTCATAGAACTTGTGGAACTGGAGTGGGGCCTCTCCTTAGGCATGCATGACAGAGCTTGGGTGAAGGGCATGAGGGAGTTCAGGGAGTTGTCACTTTCCCTCAGCCCATTCTTAGTGACCCCGCAGAGCTCAGTACTGCCGGCATCAATGTGCTTGGCTTTTGGTTGGTCCAGCTCTGGGGAGATGGTGAGTGGCGTGAAGGCTTGGTCCAATCCTGGGACATTTTCTTTGATTTCTTCCTCCAGGAAGGTCTTTTCAGTCTTTGGGTTTTAGGGATCGTAGAAAACTCTCTTCCATTGGTTGTTTGAAGGGAGGCGCTCCATAAAGGAGGGAACTCATGTTCCAGCACATGCAGACCAAAAGGCCAGTCAGCTAGCTTGTCTCTGCCCTTGTTCCCAGGTGCTGTTATTGTAAAGGATTAGCTGTTCGGCCTGCTGTGCCAAGAGCAGAGGCTGTCAAGCCTGACCTGGATTTGAGCCCGCTCCCGGCTCCTCTCCGTGTGGACCTGCTGCTTCAGCTGCACCTACTGTCTGCCCCGCCCAGCCCGGGAGTGGCAGAGCCCATACTGGGTGGTGATGGTTGGAAGTACTGGCTTCCCATACCCCGGCAATGGTCCCCATCCCACTGGTGCCCAGATAGTACATCCTACAAGAGCTGAGGGTTCCGATGTTCCTGCAGAGGGTTAGGGAGAAGATGTGGAATATGTCTCACTTTTCTTCTGGATTATCTGGATTTAGCTGAGTCCCATGCTGCTCTGGCCTCTTTTTTGGAGGGTGTTACCTGTCATCTGGCCCAGAGAAGGTAGGCAGAGTTTTCTGAGTAACACAGCAAAGATACTATGGAGAATGGTGAAGATCAAGTGTGGCCCCAGGACCCAGTCACCTGGCTGGTGTACCTGGTTCCCCTCATTACCTTTCTTAGGATTCAAGCAGACTCTGACCTGTTCAATGAAACACCTAAGGTCCAAGGGTATCTTGTTAGAATTACTGGAATAGGGAAGGTTTTAGAAGCCACTTTCTGCTGAGATACTTAGTTCCATGACATCTGAGCTGGAGAAGGCACTCTGGAATCTCAAAGGGCCAGGGTTTGAATCCTAGCTCTGCCCTTTGCCTGAAGCCGAGGAACTGTGTTCTTGGAGCCCCCTTTTTCTCACCTGTTAGAAAGGCAGGATCAAACAGGCTGCAGTGAGACTTATATAAACTCATATGCAAAGCACCATGCCTCGAAGTTGGTAATAAAAATCCAAATAAAACTTAACTCAGAGCTTCCCTTAGGGTGAGAAGCTACTCTACCATTCCAGGGTGGAGACTGCCCTCTGAAATCCAGGCCCTCAAATTAAAAGGTTATTTGGCTTATGCGACCCAATTACTGGCCCTCTGTCCCATAGGCCTCTGTGGGTACCTCACCTTCTGCCCTGGGGCCACCACTTGTCAGGGCAGAGTCTGTCCACCTGTGGGGACAGAGGCTCCCGCTTCTCTGATGAGAAGCAGCCCGACTGGTTGCTGAGCTGTGGAAAATAATTAAGCTAGGGGAGGAAAAAACACTTCTTTTAAAAACCAGGTTAGGGATGAATGCGCAGGGCGTGGCCCCTGTATAATTAGCAAGCTGCAGGCTGCCGGGCCTGTCTCTCCCTGGCCCGTTGTGTCAGGCTGAGCCTGCTCCTCCCCTGCTCCTCCTTCCCACAGGTGTGTCTCCCGGCCCAGTGGCTGCCCGTGTCACTCCCTGCGTAGACACCCAAGAGCTCACCCACCCCACAGCCCCAGCCTGACCGAAGCCAACCGGACAAGTGTCCTGCCATGGAAGCCGCAGATGCCTGCAGGAGCAATGGGGCCAGCCCTGAAGCCAGGGACGCCCGCAGCCCCTCGGGTCCCCACGTTGGCCTGGAGAATGGCACCAAGGCCGAAAGCAGGGACCCCAAGACCACCAATGGCCACGTCGGGGAGGCGGCCGAAAGCAAGGGCCTGGGGAGTGCCCTGAAGGCAGGGGAGGGGAAGAGTGCCCTGTTTTCTGGCAACGAGTGGCGACGCCCTATCATTCAGTTCGTGGAGTCCGTGGATGACAAAGGTTCCAACTACTTCAGCATGGACTCTGCGGAAGGCAGGAGGTCGCCCTACGCTGGGCTTCAGCTAGGGGCCAAGAAGCCGCCCGTCACCTTTGCAGAGAAGGGAGAGCTGCGCAAGTCCATCTTCTCGGAGCCGCGCAAGCCCTCGGTGTCCATCGTGGAGCCCAGCGAGGCCCGGAGGAACAGCTACCCTCGGGCAGACTCCGGCCTCCAGCTGCGGTCCAAGGCCGGCTCCGAGGAGGTGCTGTGCGACTCCTGCATCGGGAACAAGCAGAAAGCCGTCAAGTCCTGCCTGGTGTGCCAGGCCTCCTTCTGCGAGCTGCACCTCAAGCCCCACCTGGAGGGCGCCGCCTTCCGCGACCACCAGCTGCTTGAGCCCATCCGAGACTTTGAGGCCCGCAAATGCCCCGTGCACGGCAAAACCATGGAACTCTTCTGCCAGACGGACCAGACCTGCATCTGCTACCTCTGCATGTTTCAGGAGCACAAGAACCACAGCACTGTGACGGTGGAGGAGGCCAAGGCTGAGAAGGAGGTGACTTCTGGGCCCCACTTCTCCTCTGGGGTGATCTTACACCCCCACCCTCCACCCCTCCACACCTTGGTCTCTGCTGAGTTTCTCTGGTTTGGGCTGAAATCTCCACTGTGCTTGGCTTCTTTAGAAAATTTTTCTTTCTCCTTTGCAAAGCTTTGGGGTCAGAGGTGACTCCCCAACCCACTAAGGTCTTTTTCTAAATGAGCAGATAGAGGTTCAGAAAAGGCTGAGGCCTTGACTACGGCCATAGGATAAATTCAAGTCCCTTGCACAGAACTCAGTCTTTCCCACTCTCCATCCTCCTTCCCCTCCTCCTCCTCCTTCTTTTGTTGTTTTTGTTTGTTTTATGAGAAAATTCTTCCCACAGTGAGCAGGACTGAGCCCTGGGGAATGGGCTGTGGGTGAGGGAGACTCTGAAGGAGGGAACTGGGGGTCGCTGGCATGTCCTTTTTGCTGGCCTGTTGGTTTGCTGCTTGTTCTGTCTGAACCCCAGGCAGTCCCCCACTCCCCTCCCCTCCTTTGTCCTCGGTGGGGTGGTGGTGGTGGTGTGGTTCGTGTGTGTGCCTACAGGTAGACAGGACCTGCCTATGCCTGTGAAGGATACCAGTGTTGGGGGAGGGAACGTATGTGTGGGTGTACACTAGTGTGCGTGTTCCTGTGCATGTGGGCGTCTATGTGGTTGCTGCCTGTTTGTGTGTGGGATGCACGGGTCTGCGTGAATTCTGTGCATGTGGTTATGTGCTGTTTCCGTGGGGAGGAGCGGAGCAAGTGGAGGCTTGTGGGGGTAGCACACCCAGGAAAGGTGCTCTGAGCTGAGGGCCAGCTGTGGCCACTGCCTCTCTCCCTACAGATGCTGGACCCACTCTCTCCACCGTCATAGCTCCTGGCTGCAGAAGGGTGTTCCAAAGCCAACTTTCCTAGTGGCCAATGCAAGAGGCTTGACTGTCTCAAGAGCTTGTGCACCCCACAGAATGGGACAGCACAGAATTCTTCCTGCGGGGTCTTTCTGACCCAGACTTGCTAATCATTTTGTGCCTCTTTCCAACTCCTCTGCACAGGGCAGGGGATGAATTAGAGATGCAAGCAGACCCCATGATCCTTTCTGAAGCTTTGTTTGGCCCCAAAAGAGATCTCCAGCTTCTCCTGTCTCTAAATTCAGGTTCATATCGGAAGATACAGATGGGGCAGGAGCTATGGAGCCCGTGCTTAGGGAACTCACTTGGGAAATCAAAACAGAAAAATGAACTGGTCATCTTTGGGCTAAGACCACACAGAGCTTCAGTCTGAGTTTTAGGCTGTTTTTTTTTTTTTGCCTCTATCTAGCAGTAAGATAGTGGCTAAGTATTTTCCATTCTGTCTCAGCTTCCCTGAGGAGTTGGGCTAGATTGTTGGTTTTCAAATTATCTCAGGGAGTTAGTTGTAGGATTCTTATAAAAGCCTCAGAATAAAGAGGGAGGAGCAAAGAGGTGACCAGGAGGCAGAGGTCCAGGTTTCCTACTGCAAGAAAGGCTCACTCATCTACCTGCTTCTTACCCAGGGTTTGGACCCAGCTGTCATCTGAAACATGTATTCATTAAAAAGCTGGTGCGGGTGTGCAGGAGGGTTTGGGGTCTCCATCTGGAGGCAGCAGGAGCTCTGACTTCATGTTCTGACTCAGGGGCTGTGTAGGGTTCAGATAATCCTTGAGGACTCACTATACAGGTCAGCAGGCAGAACTCGGCAAGCACCACTGGGGAGCACCTTCCCACTTAGAAGCAGCAGTGGTTAAACCACGGCTCGTAGAGGACAGAATGGCGGACCTGAAGCAGCATTAGCCAGCCCCACTGGTCTCTTCCTTCACCTTGCAAATGGAGACACAAGGCCCAGAGAGAGGAAGCAGCTCAAGAACTTGGTTGAAGAAGGTGCAGCTCCCAAAGCCCTCTTCTAACATTTGAGAGCGCCTCAGGGAAAAGGCAGCAAAGGGCAGGATTTGGAATACCTGTGCCTCAGGAAAGATGTCTCATCCCCTGGAGTGACTGTCCCTGTGGTAGCCCTGGGCAGCCTGTGTGTGTACGTGTGGATACATGAATGTGTGCATGCAGCATAGAGACAGGCAAGGAAGACCAGGCCTGAGAAGCCAGGAGTCTGAGCTGCTGTACTTTGTCCAGACCCACTTCTGCTGGAATGTTGGACAGGTGACACTGGCACAGAGCCAGGGCAGTGGGCTGTTGGACGTAGTAAGTGCCTGTATTAATCCCGGCATCCTATGAAGCATTTCCTGCAGACCCAAACATCCTACATGCAGTGTGCAAAGTCTGGGCAGAACCTGTTTTGCAGGCCTGTCCATGCAGGGCAGGTGGAGTGGCCCAGCCTCGTCTGGGTGAGTTGTGAGAAGTTGCAGATAACACTCCTGTCTGTGACTGCCCACGTCCTAGCCTTGGCTATACCTACAGACTCTGAGCAGAGACCATGCTTGAAAACTGTCCCTTGGTGTGCCAACACTGTATTCCCTCCTCTAACGGACTTTAGATTGTGTTTCTCCCTCTCCTTCAAATGTCACAAGGAGTCCTATAAATGTCCACTGGGCAACCTCTGCCACCGGATAGTCCCCCCATTAGGCCAAGTGGCCCTTTCTCGTCTGTCCCAGATTCCTCCTACAGCACACCAGGATATAGGGGCATCCTCTGGGTGGGTGGCTGCCTGCTCTGGGTGGCCCCGCTCTGTTCTGTATCTGGTGTATGTGTGGGGTCACAGCACCACTGACATAATAAGGCACGTTGTGATGACACTGAGCTGTGAGCATCACTCTGGAGAGACCCCCTCAGTACCCTATCTACCCTCCTCCATCATTCGTCTCAGGTTGTTCCTTTATCATGCTGCATGGCTTCGTTTCTTGCTCCCCACTTCTTTCAGGCTGATTGGCATGTGCAATCCTGGTCCTGAAGTTTCCAGGGGGAGCACTGAGGCCCTTGGAGGCAGTGGGATTGGGACTGGGGAAGAAGAGCCAGGCTAACGGTCAAGGAACTCTTGTCCTGGAGAGTAGCGGGGAGGACACCTGCTCTGGAACTAGGAGTAAGGAGGTGGGACAAGCCCTCTGGTGCTGAGGAAAGGCAATCCATAAAAGTTTAGAGACAGGAGCAGGGGAAGAAAGTGACTGGCAAGCAGGTGCCAATCTAGTCTGTAGGGAGCCATCTGTGTGTCAGGTTTCACTCTGGCATTTGCAGGATTACCCATGTGGAGGTCTCATCCGGTGGAAGGAGCATCACATCTATTCTGTAGCTGGAGAAGAAAGCTCCAAGATGCCAAGAGATTCAGACAGGTTTCAGCGCTGGGGATGTTGCAGCTGGGATTATGTGGGACCTTTTTCTCCTTGGGATTGGAAGGTCCTACTGAGAGTCCTAAGCCCAGTGGCTGCTAAAAACCAACCTTCAGGCTTCAATCACTTGATGACTTGTTAAAACAGATGCCTGGGCCTTGCCCTGCTGATCTTGATTCACAAGATCAGGACCCAGGGTCTGTATGCCTAGGAGTCTCCCTCAGGGGCTGCCATCAATGTGTAACTAGGGTGGAAATGAGAAATCCGGCCAGTCTCACCCCAGGAAGCCAAGGCCCAGGGAGCTGCAAGGACTTCGCCAGGGCCCATACTGCCCTGGAGAGGCCAAGGGGATGCTTTTTTGCCCCAAATTTTACCTTTCCTGCCCTGCGGTTGTGTGAAAGCAGAGGAAGAGCAAGATTCCAATCAAAAGGCAAACTGACCCTTGGCCGTTTGACATCTAGGTGGAAACCGGGAAATCTCTCCAGCATTTCAGATTCTTATCCAGATAATTACCATGTATCTAGGAGTACAAATTTGACAATTAACTAGCTCATTTGGCAAATGTCACAGCCCATGGCCCAGGTAGTTAATTTAGGCCTGGGGAAGATCACGGCTGATCTCCCTTCCTTGGGGGAGCAGAACGTATACATACTTTTTTTTTTTTGTCTTTTTCCTTTTTATCGGTAGCAGGGATCGAACTCACGACTGCCTGCTTGCAAGGCAGGTGCTTATGCTGCTGAACTAAATCTCCAGCCCCTGCATGTATACTTGTCCAGGTGAATTCTCAGCTTCTGTCTGTGCCTAAGGGCCCCGTCCAGGTCTAGGCCTCAGCAGGCTGTGCCACCCCTCCGCTCTCAGGCCGGAAGATCTCCAGGTTGAATGGCCCACGCAAGGCCCATCCCAGGCATTAGAGAATGAGAGGACTGTGGGAGAAGGGAACAAAAGAAGCATTCAGAGACAGGCCTGGGCAGGGGAAGATGAGGAAGTCAGGAGGCAGCTGTGGGCAGGGGTGGGGCTGTGGGGATTTGGGGCCCCATCAGGCACCAGGGGCTGCAGCTACATTCCAGGGAGGAGAGAGAACAGGACAGGGGCAGAGCTGGGGCCTAAGGAGAGGGACCAGGGAGGGAAAGGGAGGCAGAAGAGGTCTCTGTGAGATGGAGGGAGCTTGTGTGGCTCGGCTCAGCAGTGAAGGGAAGGTCTGTCCTACAGGAGTGCCCAGAGCCACTACCCCAGAGGTCCCCCTGAAGGCCAGGTTCCTCACAACAGGATGTGAGCCACTGTCTTTTTTGGTATTTTGGTATTACTTCTTTGTTTCTAATAGTGAGGACTCACTCGTGCTATACAACCTCTCTAGGCCTTGATTCTGCATCTGTGAAATGGGGATGCCACCCCTGACTTCCACAGGGGGTGCTTGCAGATTAAAGGAAACTCCTGGCACATGAGAGAGGAGATCTTGTCCTTCCTTGTCCTGGTACAGCTTTTGGAAGTGTCTCATATTCTGTTACTTCTATACAGGAAAATTTGCCCAGAGCTAAACAGATTCCCTCGAGGGTTCACGCAAACCCTCCTACCCAACAGGGATGCCAAAGGAGAGTTCTAACAGAACCGAATCCTAGTCCCAGGTCTCTTTCAGGAGCTTGCTGTGCCCTGCAAGTCCGGTCATGCTAGCTGCACTGTGGGCACCAGGCCCCTCCCAGCCTGGGTCTGTCTTCCCGAGTGCCCTCAGAAAAGGAGGACCAACCTCTCTTGTACACTGACCAATTCTTTCGCCCACTGCTGCAGACAGCTCGTCTCCACTAATGACTGCCCTCCTGCGTGTCCAGACCAGCTTCTCTCCTCCCCAGACCCCAGGCCTGCTGTCTTCTTCCTGTGTTCTATAAAGGATGCACTCCCAGGGCACTGGCCCCTCTTTACCCTTGGCTTGGTGTTTTACACCCCACCGTTCCCTCCTCCCTTCCTCTGGGCCCGCAAGTCCATGCTCACCTAGGCAAGACCTTCCCTCACCTACAAGCTGGCCACACAGCTCCGCATGCATGTCCTCTGGGCACCACTGGTCACTCTGGCACTTGACCCCTTGGTCTTCACCTTCTCTGGTCAAATCCTTGTATGCTTAAGCCTCCTTCAGCTATTTTTCCTCCTCTGTCCCCTCAAGACCCTCCCTCCTTCCATTATTCACGTCCTAGGCTTTTATTTTGCACTGTCAGTCTAATGGCTAACTTCCCAGTCTCTGCGATGTCCTTAACTCTGCTTTCTATGTCTGGACTGTGTCCGAGCTACATCCAGACCCCAGTCTGATGACATACCCTGCCACCACCACTCAGCACCAGCAAGACCTCACCTGAGCACACCTCCCTGCTCCGCTTGCTTGCCTGTCCTCTCTAACCTGCCTGTCTCTCTGCCTTCTCTTCCAAGATAGTGACTGGCACCTGGCAGGTGTCTGGACAGCAGTGGCAGTGACATTATTTAGTCAGAACCTGCACTGTAGCAGGTGGTTTCCAGTACCCTCATGCCCTTGGAGGGAGATCCTCTTACGGACTCCATGGAACAGATGACACTACTGAGGCACAGAGAAATTAAATACCTAGCAAAGGCCTCCTGCCTGTGGGTGGTGGTCACAGGATTCCAGCTGTTGGTTCCCTGTCTTGTGCTCTGGGAGAGCTTCTTCCTGGACTCCCTTTATGGTTCACATCATGGAAAGCTGGCCTGTTCCCCCATCTGTGACAGTTCTTTACTGGGATCGGATGTGGCCGGAGGTTGTAAGGGGTGCACCTTTGCCTTCTACTAGGCCTTGTGGTGAAGCGGGGCGGGAAATCCAGGTGCCCACTGTTGTACCCTTGAACTGGGTTAGAAAGTTTCAGTTGCAGGGTGTGGCAGGTCTTTAGCTGTCTCTCCATTTGGGTCTCATTCTTAGACATGCGAAAGTTGCCTGGAACCTGTTCAGCTTTTTGGTCTTTTCTTCAGGGCTTAGGTTCACTAACCAGACTGGCTTTCTTGAGGGCTTTGGGGCCACCAGACCTGCCCAGCTCTGTTTTCAGGGCTGTCTTGCTCTGCGTCCTCAGGGAGGGTGAAAGCTGAGTTTCCATCATCCATGGCAAGGACTTACTGCCTCTGTTCTCTCCCTTGTGTCTTCTCTCCAGCCTTGTTCTGGAGACCAGGCCAAATCATACCCTCATGCCTTGTGTTCCTCTATTGTTGATAACCTGTCCTCTCTGGTGATGTCATCCTCCACGCTATGGAATTCCAGCCCTTGTATGTGGGGTAGATGCTCAGTGAGAACATTCTAGAGTTTCAGTGCTGTGAGAGCCCAGAAGTATGTGGTCATTCGGGGGCCAGCCATGGAGGAGGAGCTCCTTTTCTGGGGAGCTCCGGGCTGCGGCCCCATATCTTTGCATGCTAGCTCCTCTGGATCCACTTCCTTGGGTGTCTGCAGCTGATTCTCCATGGGTGTCCCCTCAGCTGGGTATTCACAGGTGCGTGAGTGCTAACACTCCAGGCCCAGCTGCTCACTGCTGCCAGAGTTCACCTTTCTCATGATTCATGGTTTCTGTACCTTGACTGCTGTTGTGAGTTCTTCAAGAAGATGACTCGAGAAAGGGGTGGGACTCTTCAATCGAAACTCAGTGGTTGGGGCTGGGGATTTAGCTCAGCGGCATAAGCGCCTGCCTTGAAAGCAGGCAGTCATGAGTTCGATCCCCGGTACCGATAAAAAAGGAAAAAGACCAAAAAAAAAAAAAAAAAAAAAAAAAGAAAGAAACTCAGTGGTTGTGGGGAGACCCTGAGTGAGCCCAGGCCTTCCTGATTGCCTTGGAATTCCTATTTCTTAGGTGGGATGTATGTTGGGTAACCTTAAAGAGGAACCCCAAAGCACAAAAGAGGTGCTTCTTGGATTGGCTTCATAGGAGAGGTCTCAGCACTGTAACTTGCCTTTTACCTTGGGGAAGTCACCTTTCTCGACTTGGCAAGTGTAGACCCGTGGGGCCAACATGCTAGCACACTCCTGATAACCCTCTTCCCACACTCCTTGGACCCTGACAATCTGCCTGCCCCTGTGCGGGGCTCCAGGGCCTCTCATTGCAGCCTTCTGCACTCTTCCTAGGCTCATGGTCTAGCCTTCTCCTTCCCCAGAGACCCGGGGTAAAAGTCCCTCTCTTGCCTAAACTGCAAACGTGTTCCCTTTCCCATAAACAGATTTATAGCTGTGCCTGCCCAGACAGAGTCCATGCCGGCGGCAACACCAGCTGCTGCTTGCAACACAAGCCCCACGTCATGCTGGAGAAACACTGCACACTGTTACTGCCGTGAGACACTCCCTGGCCTGGGACGTGTCTCTTCCCAATGGCCTCAGGTCCACTGAAAGGAGCAAGAACAGCACAAAGCTGGTTGCTCCTGTTGGATAGAGGAGCTAGGGAGGCTCAGCTCATACAGACATGTCTAGGGTGTCTAACTTAGTGACCTGAGAGGACGGCAGATGCGTTTGACTCACTGTTGGGTCTTCGGTGGCTGGCACAGAGCCTGGCATATCTGAGGTCCCAGTGAATGTGTGCTGAATGGATTCACTGGATGATGAGTGCAGAGCCCTGCCTGAGAGTTTGTTTTCTGCCCAGAGCCTGGCTCCATTCCTTCTCCTCACCTGACCTTGCCAACCCTTTGTCTTCAGACGGAGCTGTCACTACAAAAGGAACAGCTGCAGCTCAAGATCATTGAGATTGAGGATGAATCTGAGAAGTGGCAGAAGGAGAAGGACCGCATTAAGGTGAGCCTGGGCCTTTCCTCAGTGTACCCTCACCCACCTGTGCTGCCTGAGAAAGTCGGGTCATGCTCCTGTCCCAGGGTTTAGCCATGGTGACATCCCATACTTGTTTGTTTTGGAGTCTCCTGCCCCTTTGATGTTCCTATCGCTTCCCCTTCTCAGTTTGGGCCATGCAGATGGGTGGGATCTTACCTGTCACCTACCAATCATCATTTCAGCAAATAAATATCCTAGACCTGTCCTCCAGTGCATTTTCCAGTGTCCTCAGGTGTCTGATCATTGGATGACCCGGCCACCAAGTACAGGCCATTTCTCCTCTGCTTATGCCACTGTGGCCAGATGTGTGTTTGCCATAGTCTGGGTAATGGCACGACACATCTTGAAATCATTGACTCTTGATATTGGCCACAAGAACAGCCAATCAGTCCATTTCTGAGTAGTGTTTGGTTTTGGCTGAATACACCCTAACTTATGGATCCATGTTTGGTCCACAGTGAGTCACTCAACTCTGGAATGGTGGCTTATGATGACCCACAGAGGGAAAGGGGGTACAGGTGGATAAGGAAGGGTGAGCTGTGAGAAACCCAGCAGCAGGTGGCATCTCCAGGTGATGCCTCTGAATGAGATTCATGGTGAACAGCATTGCCCAGTTAGGGCACCGGGAGTGCCTTGCTCCTATGACTGGAACCTAATGATGTGCTCTGCTGTAGTTTTCTTAATGGAATCCTCCTTTATCCTTCTCCTGATTCTGGACCTAGAGCTTTACAACCAATGAGAAGGCCATCCTGGAACAGAACTTTCGGGATCTGGTGCACGACCTGGAGAAGCAGAAGGAGGAAGTAAGGGCTGCCCTGGAGCAGCGGGAGCAGGATGCTGTGGACCAAATAAAGATTATTGTGGATGCTCTGGATGAGAGGGCCAAGGTGCTACATGAGGACAAGCAGACCCGGGAGCAGTTACACAGCATCAGTGACTCTGTGTTGTTTCTGCAGGTAATAGGAGAGTTCTCCACCATCAAAGTCCCCAGTCCTCATCTTGTCCCATCCCATCCCATCCCATTGCATCTATACATGTATCCATCCACCCATCTATCTATCCATCCATCCATCCATCCATATATCCATCCATACATCCATCTATCCTAGCTCCAATTCTATCTAATCATTTAATTTTTCCAACCAATCAACCAACTGTCCTACCTACTCTAAAGATGACAAACAAATATTACCTTGTACCAACTTTGATTGTTATGTACTAGTGGTGTTCTAGGATTAGTAGGAAAGAGTTTTGTGATTGAATAGCAATCTCCTGTTTTGGATAAGGGAACAACAACATATGAATGCTGCATAATCTTTATTTTTTTTAATCTAGTCTGTCTACTTATGTGTCCATCTTTCTGTCTGCTAGAAAGTTCTGGGTGCTCCTGGCTGCCCAGCACTCTGTTAAGTACTACAGAGCAGTATAAGACATTATTTCTGCCCCCAGATAGCTGCAATCCTCTGAGAAGATAAGATATATACAATTAGAGAACAATACAGGAAAGTGTACAATTAAATGATAAAGCATGTGGCTTGGGAGATAAATGCGGTGGAAATGCATTGAAAGGCAAGCAGGATGCAGCAATCTATAGATGCTCTGTGGAGGAGAGTGAGTAGACCTTGCAGGCACTCGGGATTTGGGAAGTAGGAGGGGTTCTCCAGTGAGGAGTAGGGAGGTGAGACACACAAAGGTGTAGAGGCAGGATGGGGTGAGGCCTGTGAAGGTGGAAATATGGCAACAGGCTCAGAACATTCCAGAATTTTCTGGCATTTTCTGATGCTTTCACCCCAGTGTGTTCACACAAACCCCTATGCACTCAGGCAAAGGTCATATGTCTGAATGCTAAGCCTTCAGGAATGTCAGCATCTGATCATGAACTTTCTGCCCAGTAAGTTTGGTTTGTTGAGCTGATTCTAGAATGCAGCTCCTCTGGCTCCCAGCATCCAGTGTGTAACTGGAATCCTTTTGATAAGCAAAAGGCCCCCTCAGCTCATAACAATCCAGGAAGTGAATGACTTCTTTCCTTTCTCGGTAGGAATTTGGGGCATTGATGAGCAACTACTCTCTCCCCCCACCCCTGCCCACCTACCATGTCCTGCTGGAAGGTGAGGGCCTGGGACAATCACTTGGCAACTTCAAGGATGACCTGCTCAACGTGTGCATGCGCCACGTTGAGAAGATGTGCAAGGCTGATCTAAGCCGCAACTTCATTGAGAGGAATCACATGGAGAATGGTAAGACCCTTCTTGTGAGCAGGCCCAAGGCCATGAGCATGTCCCTCCCAGGTCACTTCCTGCTGCTTAGGTAAAGGTTGGCATCTATCGGGCAGGCCCCTTTCTCCTCCCACCCATCTACTCCCTTCAAGGGATTTGGACTAAGATCCAGGGATTCTAACTCCCTATTGAACTTGCAGCTATTCCAGAGCACATCTAGAAGAGGATGAGAGTACCTGGGCCTCCTCCCAGCGGGTCACCTGTCATATCCAGGGACTGGTTTCATCCAGACATATCTGATCACTGGGCCTAGCCCAGCAGCTAAGTAAATGCCAAGGCCAGCATGCACCAGGCTCCCTACTGGAGACTCTGTGGGCTTCAGTTCAAGTGGCCCAGCACTGCATGTATACATCGAAGAAGGACTTGCCTGTCACCATGGCTGTGTTGGGAGTGTTGAGCCCCGAGGCTGGACCTGGCCTGCTGGGCTGGCCTGGGGATGATGGCAGGCTACGGGTCCCTGTGACTCACCCGCTGAAATCAGCTCCTCCTTGAACTCACACTGTCTCTGCCAAGGTCAACTGAATCACTGCACAGAAAGCCTCCAAACCTGAGAAACCACTCTGTTGAGTCCCTTCCACCCTGTCCCTCTAGGGCCTGAAGCCTGGGTACTTTCCACAAGGCCCCACCTAGCGGCGTAGGCCCAGCCTAAAAATCTTTAAAATGCAGCCAAAGAAGGTCTTCCAGCCCTGGACTCCCACAGGAAATGGCCCCTGTCTGGTCTGCACATGGAGCATGCACTTCTTCGGGGGAAGGGAGAGGGCTAAGAGTGTGCAGGAGCGTTAGGCAGGGGGCTGCCTGTGTATCTTGGTGATGGTTATATCACACAGTGTCCCTGTGAAATATGAGGGACATTCAGTCACACCTGAGAACAGATAAGCCATTTTAGCAAGACAATCGTTTGGCTTTAAATGACACTCAGATCCTGACAGTTTCTTCCTAATGACAATGGCCATGAGTCTAATGGTGAGAGGGACAGCTGAAGGTGATTGAGTGCTCTCTGGGAGCTGGGCATTGTGCTAGGCTCTTCACTCAGGTTACCTGATTTTCTCTGTGGGGTGTTTAGCATTGTACAGATAAGAGAGCTGAGGCTCTGGAAGCATCTTTTTAAAGGACACACCTTGGGGAGGGTGCTGTCAGGTTTACACACACTGCTGTCCGGTCTCCCACGCTTTCTCATCCATAAAGCTGCTGCTGCCGCTCATAGCAGCCGCAGTGATTGGCAGCAGAGGACTTGAGCAGAGGTGGTGACTGCCTTGTGGGGGAGCCCCTCTGTGGGAGAAGTGTGAGCACACCTGGGAGACTCAGCCTGAACGGGGTAGGTGACCCGTGAGCCTTGCAGGAACTGTCCAGCCTCCCAGATGCTCACCATCCCATTTCTAGGTCACGATGGCACTGGTCATGGCCTCTGTGCAGGTCTGGCCCTGTGTCCTCTGCAAGCTGTGCAGCGAGGCGGCAGCGAGGGGCAGGAACAGGTTCTGCTGACTCAGGAGCTCTGACCCTGTGCCTGGGGCTACTGGAGGAGCCTCCTTCGCCTCTGTGTTGTTTTTTCTGTGTTGTTGCTGCTGTGTGGTTGGGAGTGTGTCTGCTGTGGGGCATGGGGGCAGGTGGCCGGTGAGTCAGACTTTAGACTGACCACCTACCGCTCCCTATTGTGTCCCCCAGTCCAGACTCACTCCCACTCTCAAAGGTCTAGGCAAGACACAGGTCACCATTAACCCGGGCTAACACCAAGGCTAGCATCCCCCATGTGGCAGGCCCTGCTGGATGCCTACATGCAGTGGTGGAGATGATGGATAGATGGAGCTACTCATTCTTCCTCTTAATGGGGAGAAGGGGAGAGAGCGCAAGGAAGAAAGGAAGAAGGAAGGAAGGAAAAGGAGGAAGGAGAGGGAGCAAAGGGAGGAGGAGGAAGAAAAAGAGGAGGTAGGAGAGAAAGACGGAAGCAGGAGGAGGAGGAGTGAGGTGGAGGGCAGCTTGGGGAGTGGCATTGTTTGGGTTTTGGGGTCTGCACTGGGGACAGCTAAGTCATTCAGCTGGTCTTTGAGGCCAAAGCTGGGACCTCATTCTAACTCTTGAGGCTGAGAGCTGGGGCTGGAACTGAGATGCAAAATTGGAAGTCGTGTCTCAAACCCCCATTTTCCTCTTATTGGCTTGTGGCATGGAGCAAGTTGCTTCCATCACCTCCGGAGGCTCAACTTTCTTATCTATCACACAGAGATTTCCATACCTGCCCAAGAGTTAGCATACAGATCAAATAAGAAATGGACGCCAGTGGCCCCTGGTGAGCTCCAAAGTGCCGTGCCCATGACCTTGCTCACAAGATGCTTTCGGGATGGGGCCCCTGGATGTTACAGTGCCGGTCCGACAGGGTGGGTGGTTCATTGTACACATCCCCTCCCCACCAAGAACTCAGGAGCAGGGCAGATGCCAGGTAGGCATCCTCATTCTTGGATGCTGTGGAAGCTTCCTGGGCAGAGGAGATGCCCGAGTGGCCAGCTCCTCCTCTCTCCTCGCCTCCTCTGCTGGGGCTGGAACTGAGCTGCAAGACTGGAAGCCAGATCTCAACCCCCCAATCTGCTCTTATTGACTTATGGCATGGGGCATGAGCCTTAACTGTCCCTTTCTTATCTGTCCCTTCACAGGCGGTGACCATCGCTATATGAACAGCTATACAAACAGCTTCGGGAATGAGTGGAGTACGCCAGACACCATGAAGAGATACTCTATGTACCTCACCCCCAAGGGTAAGGGCCACCCTTCTTGGCCTAGGAGTGGCATCCTGTCCCTTCTGTTGCCCAAGGACCCCAGAATCCATAGAATGACTCCCAGGCAGATTCCTCCTGGGTGGAGCGACTGGGTGTCCGGTGCCTGGGAAAGTCAGAGCATTTGCTTGGTGTCCCCATGGGATCATGAGCACTGCTTCCTTTCAATCTCAGAAGTGACACGTGTCCCATGTAGATGATAAATCACCTAGCACTCTGCTTGTCAGAGACTTCCCACCCCTGAGGCAGTCAGCCCCTCCAGGACCCTCCTGTGGCAACTCTGTACTTCTGGGAGTCTCCTGGGATCCCCTGGCAGGCCGGCGCTGTGTGATGTTTACACTTAGGGTCTGTGGGTCAGGGCCCTGCTTCCTGCAGGACCGCTTGTCCCCCCTCTGCCTTTCCTTACCTGCAGCCTGGACCCGAAGTTCTCCTTTCCCAGGCCTGGCAGAGCCCCAGCTACAGGTGACAACCTGATAGGGTCTAGACCAGGGCCTGCCCGTCCTTGCCCTAGGGGAGCCTGGTGCATTCTTGGGTCTCAGCAATAAACCACAGCAATGCCCATTATGTAAAGGTGGGTGTGCCGGCCCAGCAACCCCAGCTGGAGGCGGTATATGTGCACGAGGGGGCTGGGATCTGGGAAAGGGGTGGGGATGTGAGAAAAGTAAAGCAGAAATGAAGGCACTGGGTCGAGGAGGGGCGCATGAGGATTAAAACAGTCTCATACAATGCACGCCCGCCCGCACGCATGCGCACAGACGTTCCTTGGTGAGAGTGGGGTTCAGAGGGATGAGCTCACTGGAGAGGAAGCTCCGCTGCCTGTCCCAATTCGAAAACAACACCTGGGCTTCTTGGGCAGGCCTAGGGCGGCAGCTGGGTGCTCAGCTTCCCAGCTCTGACATTCCTGGTATGGGCCAGGCCCAGACACCAACCCTGCACCCTCCCCTGCCCAGGGTGCTGCCCAGTTCTGTGAGTGATCGGCTTTACTAACAAGCCACCCGCGGATCCCCTGTTTGCTTAAGTCCAGCCCCAGTGAGAGCAGCAAATCCACCACCAGTCCTTGCTTGATTCTGCTCTGTGGGGGACCAAGAGCCAAGGTGACCCCACTGCAGGAGAAAGGCGCACAGCCCACCAAGCTGTCACCCTGACAGTCCAGAGTCTGGGAGATACTAGGGCTGGTCACTGTCCCCTCTGGCTCTGTTCTTTCTACCTGAGAAGAGCAGCAGATGGCCCAGGACTCAGAGCCCTCCCAGCTCAACCCTTGTGACTCAGACTGTGACATCTGTAGGTGGAAGAAACAGGTTTCCCCAGTGTCCCTGCCCTAACCCTGTGGGCAGCACCCTAGCTGGCGATAAGGAGGGACAGGACATCAGCTCTCTGGGCTCCCAGGTTCAGGGGACAGGGGAGGCAAGGGAGACGCTGAAGAAACTGGGCAAGATCAGGAAGCAATGCCCCTAAAGGCCACCAGGCCCAAGCCTGGGAGTTTGGGGGCCAGTGGGCTGTGACCCCTTCCTCAGAGAGGTTGATTTCAGGGCTCCCTGAAGAGGAACTGTGTGCCTGGTAATAAGGAGAGACTGTGATGGCAGGGGGAACTGGGTGGAAGAAACCACAGGCAAAAGTGTGCAGAGGGACAGATGGGGGCCACACGTGGAGACTGGGGTGCAATCTGAAGTTCAGGGGGAGGGGCAGAGTTAACGGGATGTGGCACACTGCTCTGTGGAGTGAGCACCAACCTGCTCTGCCTTCTTCTAGGCTGCTGTGAGCACCCAGCTGGGGACAAAGGGACGCCCTCATGGGGAGTGAGATGCTGATGGCACCAGGGAAGCCATGGTGTTGTCTGTCACCAGCTCATTCCTCACACCTACAGGTGGCTCAGCCTGCATTTGGCCAAGGACCCAACACCTGTGTTGCCATGGCCTCTCCCTCCTCCCAGTTACTGCACTTCCTGGCCCCTGGAGCCTCAATCACATGGGGACTTCTCCTTGTCAGCCTCCTGTGTCTCACAGAGGGGGGCCGTACATTGTAGTGTTCCTAGGATTGTCCTGGTGAGCCCCAGTGCTCTGGGAATGATCAGTCTAGAAGTTTCCATTCTCCCAAAGGGCCTCCATTTGGATGATAAATGGTCACCTGAGGCGAGACCCATGGAGTGGGATCCAGGTCCTTGGTGGGCACTCGGAGACCTCTGGGTTTCTGCCTAAGACTCCCCAGGTCAGAGGCTGTGGACCTGAGCCATGTGCCCTCTCTGCAGTGATGAGCCCCTTTTGTTTACCTCTCAGGTGGGGCCCGCACCACCTATCAGCCATCCTCTCCTGGCCGTCTCTCCAAGGAGACCAATCAGAAGAATTTCAACAATCTCTATGGCACCAAAGGTAGGAGGGAGGGTGTGCAGCTCCAGGGCAGGCAGGCAAACTTTGGGGAGCAGGTGGAGGTGGGAGCCGGAGCTGGGCTGCGGCGGGGCTGGACTCTCAAGCATTGCATAAATATGGGGTGCTGGAGCAGGAAGACGTAAGAAAGGGGCTGCTCCTGAAAACCCAGGCAGTATTAGTGGAAAGATGGTGGGACGGTCCTTCCCCAGTGCCAGGTTTCCCTCTGCCAGGGCATCAAGGAACCAACCACCGTGCAGAGCAGAACTCAAAAGCCCTGTTTTGCACGGCCCGGGTTCTTTCCCGGTGTGGCCTACTGTGTTGGGGAGGGAGGTGACCGGGCCAGCTCCCCCAGAGGCCCCACCCCAGACACAGCACTGGAAGATTCTTGAGCGAGGATCAGGCGCAGTTAGACTAGAGGGTCAGGGGTGCCTGAAGAGCAGGGCCATGCCTAGGCCTCTGTCAGTGTCAGATTCACAGCTGGGACCCGCAATGACCTTATCCACATAAACAACAGCCTGTCAGCTGTAGGAGGGTGGTTGTGGGGAAATGGGGCCTGTCCTGCTCAGGGGTGTACCTGCTGGTCCCAGAAGTGGGGCGACTTGGGGGAAAAGTTGTTGACAGACAGGAGAAAGGAGTGAAAGGGATTGCAGGCCCGCCAGCCCCTCCAAGCTGTGGAGGATGTGCTCTTTGAGGGCCCTGCACAGAAGCTTCCCGAGATCCCCAGTGGAGAGTTTGTGAGTGGAAGTGTGGCTACCCCAGCCATCTCTGACTCCTGAGCCCAAACATCAGCTCCAGCCTTCCCCAGGCCGCCAGGGAGACAACCGCAAGGCTTGATGGGAATTTCTGTACAGCCAGCGGGATTTAGGAGGTGCTGGAGGCTCTGGGCCTGCCGTGAGTGGGGCTGGAGCCCTGGAGCTCTGAGCTCCCAACTCGAAGCATCCCCTTGGTACCCCAATGCTCCCTCCACCCATTTCCCCCTGCTTCCTCCTCTAGGTGACAGGGACATATTTGTACATGGACATCTGTTAGACTATGCAACCTGCCAAACAAGATTTCAGGTGTTGTCTCAGCTGCCTCTGACCCCCAGTTATAGGATGTGCTTGTGTGCTTATTTGTTCTTTTGTTCAAGCATTCATCCATCAACCATAAAATGAGCACTTTCTAAGAGCCAGGCTCTGTGCCAGGCTCCAGGCACGATGATGCTGGCCAGATGGGGCATTTTTCCAGTCCAGCTGGGAGCAGACAATGAAACGTGCAGTTGCAGCCCAAGGGGCAGGGGTTGTAGTGTGGTATGTGCACACGCAGACTTGGGGGAAGGTCACGTGGAAGATGACACATAACATCCACTATGTAAATTTGCTGAGCTGTGGGAAGCAGCTGCGGTGTCCTGCAGAAAACCTGCCCTCGGCCCAAAATTTGTGGCAAGAGGGAAGCCGGGTGCTCAGCCTGGTCGGGATGCTGAGTGACAGAGTGGGAAGAGGTAAATCCAGAAAGTGGATGGAGATGACGGGGCTTGGGACCCCTCCCACAAGACCCGTGGGCCGTGTTAAGGACTTGTCCTCTCATCCTGAGGATGCTGGCCTTTGGGTAGAAAGATGGCTTTGCTGTAGGAAGGACTGGGCTAGGCAAGACAGTGGACAGAGTGGCGGTCTAGCTTTCAGAGCAGCAGGGCTGGAGAGCAACAGCCACAGAGCTGGCCGCATGCCTGTGGTGCCCTCCCTCCTCTACTCTGCACTGCTGAGGCCTCACACCCTCCTTGCCCTGCAGGTAACTACACCTCCCGGGTGTGGGAGTACTCCTCCTCCATCCAGAGCTCAGACGACCTGCCCGCAGTCCAAGGCAGCTCCTCCTTCTCCCTGAAAGGTGAGCCCGCCCTCCCACGCCCCCGCTTGTCCTCTGCCGTTGCCCACTTTGTGCTCTGCTGTTCCCTCACTGGTCCCCCAAGTCCCCAGAGAAGAGAACCTTGGTCTGAAAGGCAGAGGTCATGGCAAGGCCTTTGATTAAAGGAGTCCGGGGCTGGGGCTAGAACATAGTACTGTTCCCCAGGGCTGAGACTCCTGGGCTCAGGACTGATGAGGGGGGTCTCCTACGTCCCCCCACATCTTCATCTCTGCAGGCCCAAGGGGCCTCCCTTAGGGTTACATTCTGTCTTCCTACTGTGTTTAATTTTGTTTACCCAGTGACTTCCGGTGTTGGGTGATCCTGTGTCCTGGGCTCCTGTAGCACCCTCGTGGTCCCACAGGGCCAGTCCTGCCAAGCCACTTTGGGGGAGATGGGGACAGATGACCTTGAAGAGCTCCCAAACCCAGTCTTCCTTTTCCTGTACTCTGATGGCCACTCCTGAGCTTAAAGAAGGCTGATTGGTTAATGTCTCCTGTGTCCCAGGGTTGAGGCCGTCTTAAGGGAATAAACATGAACCAGAGTTTAGCTTCCAGTGTATCCCAAGACCCTCTGGCCTCTCCTGATGGGAGGTAGGGCCCTCTCTGGTCAGCTATGGCCCAAGTAACCCCTTTTCCCTTTGGCATGCAAAATGCCAGGCCCTGGAGAAGGGACCAGCAGGCAGAGCAGGGCCCAAGGAGGGAAAGGGAAAGGGCTGTGCTGGAGCAGTGCCCAAGCAGTGGCCTCTGAAGTGTAACCCAGTGGTCCTTCTAGGCTACATCCAGCACTGGCTTCCTGGAGCAACCAGCAAGTTGAAAGAAAAGGGAGGGGTCCCAGTCTGCGGGGCCCCAAGTGTTCCCGACTCTGACCAGGTCTGGGAAGCTCTGGGATGTGCCTTGCCTAGTTCGGCCTCCAGTAGATGCCTGCTGGGCCCCTGGCAGGAAGGACGCCCACTCTCACTGGCCTGCACAGACACGAGAGGCCTGGCCTTAGGAGGGACCCTCTTGGAGTACACTGTACCTTGCAGGAAGAGACTGGTGACGCCCCTCTCACCATCACACAGATCACCTCAGGGGGCTGGCTGGGATGGCCCTGGACAGGGTTCTGGGCAGAGGATGTGCCTAGTCCAAGGACCGAGTGCCCCACCCCCAGCAGCCCTGCAGGCAGGGAGTGGCCAGGGCTGCCCCCCAGCCGCAGAGGTGGACAAGGGCGGCTGAGCAAGCGCAGGCCTCCTGTGTGTGACGAAGGCTGCTAATGCCTCTCTCTCTCCCGGCAGGCGCTGGGAAAGCCCCCTCTCAGTTCGCCACCCTGGGACAGGCCACTGCAGACTTTTCCAAGCCACTGAACCACAGTGGGCCGTTTAACAATAATCCTGGTACCTGCTCTTACCCGTCCTTCCCTTTATCTCTTCCATAGAGGGCAGGTGGCACATCCCATGGGGCTCTCCGCCACTTCTAGGGTGTCCTGGTCCCACCTCCCCAAAGCTCCCTGGAGAAAGGTGCCTGGCCCCACCTACCTCTTAGCATACTCCATCCGGACCTTTGCCTCTTGCATAAGGCTGGTCTCCTGGGACACCCCATCCCCACCCTGACCTCTCCTTCCCTCTCTCGTGGCCTGCATGGGATTTTTTTTCTGGAAACTGAGTCTGAGTTCCCCTTCTCTCAAGAAAGACATTGGATCTGTTTGTGACATCCCCTGCCTCCTTGTTCAGTACCATGGGCCCCACCTTGTCATCCTCATGGAAGGCTGGCAGCCTGCAGCCTCCAGCATCGCACAGTCAGGGCACTGTTAACAACAGACCCAATTTCTTTCTTGAGATTCTCAGCATCCAGATCACGGCCTATTTCTTCCCAGCCATTGCTTTCTGTCCCTGATGGCTGATGGTCAACAGTGAGATGACCAGAGTGTCTTACAACACCCCCTGGGAGAAAGCAGAGGGCTAGGGAGGTGGCAGGTAGCTTGGGCCTCGGCTGGTACCCACAAATCAGACCCAGCGAGTGCCATCTGCTCCCCTCTGGATTTGTGGTCCTGACCCTGGGTGGAAGCCACACTGGGAAACCATGCCCCTGTGTGGCCCAGTCCCTGGTACAGTGCTTGGGGCAGGTGGGAGTTGGCATAGGAGGAGCAACTCCCACTTGGTAAAGTGGACTTGGGAGCGCCCCCTGCAGGGAAGCGCTGGCAATGGAATGCTTATATCCAGGCTCTCTTGGGCTCCAGGAAGGAGAGAGGACCAGAGTATAAAATCTTGGGTGGGTGGCAGAAATCTCTGTGCCAGAGTATGACGCTGACCTGGATCTGTGAGCGACACTCCCCACTCCTGGCTCAGTCACCTGTTAAGCTCCTCCTCTGTCTGCCCGGGCGCTTCCTCCCTCTGGTCATCCTCCTGAGCTCTTCGGCACTCAGCTGCTGCATATCTCGCTGGGGATACACTGGCTGGTCACCATGGATAAAGCAGCAGTGCGGCTCCAGCCCTGGGGCCCCTGACAGCCATCCTGTGCTCCCTCTGATCGCAGCCTCTTGTCTCCCAGGCTATCCCTCCCTCATCCGGAGCCAGGCTCCCAAGGCCCAGCCCCAGACTTGGAAATCTGGGAAGCAGACTCTGCTGGTGAGTAAGGGCTGCCCAGAGAACTGCCAGAGCACAGGGTGGCCAGAGTCCTGGGCCTGGAGGGGGCTCCCAGAGAGCCCACTTCAATCCTTAGGATCTACAGGAAAGCATCATCCTCCTCTGGCCATCCATGGAGGGAGGAGGCAGCAGTGGTTGCAAAACCTGCATAAGCAAAGGTAGTGGAGGCAAAGGGCTCACAGATAGGGGCTTGTGTAAGCACACACTGTTTGGGCCTCAATTTTCAAATCTCTAAAATGGACACCATGCTTTGCTATTTGGCAAGTGATTGTTCAGTGCCTATGCTTGGTGGCTGGTCACCAACTGTGGGACTGTGAAATGCTCAGTCCAGAGCATGGTTTTGATCTTACTTCCCTGGGGCGGTTTTCTAGCCCTGACAATGCAGAGGCCATTGATGTGGGGACAGGGGAAGCCAGAATGTTAAGAAGAGGTGTGCTTAGGGCTCAGTACTTAATGACTCCAGGCCAAGGCTACAGCAGAGCAGTGTGATGGGGTAATGTGGCCACGGGACCCAGGCCACCTGCTGGCTGTGGCGTCGGGTATCTCTTTGGGCCTCCACGCTCTTGCTTTTACAATGTGGGTTCTGAGATGGGGTCAGACTGGCTCCCATGCGAAGCCTCATTTCCCCCCGCCCCCCGAGACCGCAGGAGTCAGCCAGTAGCCCTGATTTATCAGCACTGCTAGGTTTTCTCGGGACTGGACCCAAGCCCTGAGCACCTGCTGTCTTTGCATTTAGAGGTCAGAGCATGGGGAGAGGATTTGCTCTGGACCTCAGAGAATGGCCAGGGCTGTTTCATTGAAGAGAATCTTTAATTTGCCAGCGACGGGAGCTAAGTGATCGTGTGTGTAACTTGGAGCTGGGCCAGGGGCACTGCAGTACAGGACTGCGACAGCTGATACGGGAGAGCAGGCGAGCTTTGTGTTTCTGACACCGTCCTCCCCTTGCTGCCCCGTTCCTCACCTTGCCAGGGCCTGGGTCCCCACAGAGAAGGCTCAAGGCCACCTGGGGACTCCGGAAGGGCAGGGTCCTGGTGTCCAGCCAGTGCCCAGTGCAGGGAGAGAAGAGGTGGCGTGAACGTGCAGAATCTGACCTGGCTGGGCCAGCCCTCACCTCGGCTTGCGATGTGCCCTGTGTCTTCCTCCCTCTGTGTCTCAGTTTCCCCACGTGTAACATGAACCATTACTCACACGGCCCAGGTGCCTTCAAAACCCTTTTGACTCTCACATGTCTGAGTCAGAGGAGACGAGGAGGAGGGATGGGGAGGAAGACACCCCACCTGGCTGTCACGGGACTATGCTCCTGCTCTCCCACCCACCACTCCTAGCTCTTAACAAGGCAGTGCTCCTGAGACCCACGTCACTGATCCAGCCTCCACAGGAGAAGCTCTGCCCTCCCCAGCTCTTTGCCTTATGGACAGTCTTGGGCTCCAAACTGGCCCTAGGGGGTCAGAGACCTGGCTACGTGACTTTATCCCAGTTCTCTCCGGGCCTCAGTTTCTTCCTCTGTTTACTTGGTGGTTTAGCCAAGATCTGAGCCAATGACCCTTGGCCCCGAAGTCTGCTATGGACAGAAGCAGGCAAGGACCCAGGCAGACAGGGCCAGGAGGGACTGGGACCTCCCCAGGGTTGGGGGCGATGGTGTCTCCTGTACAGCTCAGTGGGCAGGGACCAGGCTCATTTTCTGACTCAGCTCAGGGGCAAATCCACTGCCTGAGCACCCGTCCTCGCCAGCAAGTGGCAGCTAAACTGTGTGCTCCCATTTCAGCCTGGAGGGCCATGGCTCAGGGCCCTGATGAAGTATTTGGGAGGATGGGAGAGGGCGCTGATCTTCACTGGCCGGTCCTCAGATTTGTGCCCTGAATTATGAGCAGGGGGAGGCTGAGGAGGTGGAGGAGGGGTGAGCTCAGTGGAGATTAGGCTGGGGCAGTTGTGTCAGAGGGAATTATGCAGAGAGAGCAGAAGCAGACACTTGAGCCCTTGAGACACCAGATGCGATGCTGGGATGGGGCCGGCCTGCTGGGACTCAAGTTCTGGCTTCCCACTCACTAGCTGAGTGACCTTGGGCAAGTTGCCTAACCTCTCTGGGCCTTGGTTTGCTCAGTCGTAAAGTGGATGTGATAACAGTAACCTGTTTAATTGAGCGTTGTAAAAATTAAATGATTCATCCATCTAAAGCACACAGCACAGGTCTGTACAGTTCTGCAGAGCAGAAAGTGCTATAAAAACGGGCGCTGTGGTGAGGCTGGGGTGCTCTCGGAGCAGGCAGGGGCTGAGGCTCAGATTTGTCAACCAGCTGGCGGACTCGAGCCTTACCTGAGGTTTAAGGCCAGCGATTCTGCTAACAGGAAGGCTCAGCCCTGGATTGCAGGGTAGGGAGACCTTGCAGGTTAGGCCACAGCCCCTGGGAAGGCCAGCATTTAGGCCACTGCTGCTTCTGGGGAACGGGAGGCCGGGTGGGGTGGGGCTGGCGGTGGGCACGTTGCATCCGGCCACCCTAACCCCTTGTCTCCTCCGCAGTCTCATTACCGGCCTTTCTACGTCAACAAAGGCAGCGGGATGGGGTCCAACGAGGCCCCCTGAGCTCTTACAGAAGGGACCGAGGCTCAGCCACCCCCACACTGCCCACCTCACACTCTTTCCGCTGCTGCTCTCCTCCGGGTGGGAGCGGGCCCACCTGCCCTGCCCTCCGCTGCTGGCCGCGCTCCATCCAGCCTGCTTCCCTGCTTGGTGACTTCCCATGGTCACCCCATTCCTGCACTCAGGGGCTAACCTAGGGCAGGGCTAGGGGGCAGGTGAGCTTCTCTCCTAGCCCCTCACCCTCTTCTTCGGGGGCTGGGTCCCTAGGGCCTCCATGGCATCAGCTTGCCCTCTGGCCCACGGCCTTTGGTTTCCAGACCTGATGACCATTCTTCTCTGAGGCCTCATCTCTGCAGTGTGGGCAGGAGGTACTAGGCCACTGCTAGTTCCATCCCTGTAAAGCCACCTTCTTCCTCCCCCAGCCTGGCCATGCCGGAAGAAGACTGGTCCCAAGCGCCCTGACAGGTCCCACTTACCAAAGCCTAGCCAGGCAGAACCTCAGCCTTTGGCCACTTGAGAGGGACCTTTCGTGTCCTGGCCTCACCCTGCCTATAGTCTCTTTGAGTGTGCAGTCCTGGGGGACAAGCTGTCCTGTCTGGCAGGATGGTCTTAGCCAAGGTATCCCTCTCTTCTACTGCAAGCAACTCCCTGGAAGATAAGTCACCCCTGAAAATAGTTACCGGCCCAGCCTTCCTGAGGAAGTACCGCTTCCCTGTGGGGTTTTAGTCATCTTAGAATCTGGCGTTTGCCTTAGCGGTGAAAATGAAGCAGGCTGGCGATTGTCACCACTATTTGCGAGGCTGCCTTCCACCCTGCCCCGTCAGGGACTCTGCCTCGTTCCTGTGCCTACCTCCATGTCTGTCATATGTCACGGGGCCTGGAGAGGAGAACAAACCAACAGCAGCCTGGTGGCGTCCTCTCGAACTCCAAGGACTGATGGGGGTGTGGAGGTGGCCGGGGTGCAGGGCAGGGGGGGACTTTTAGCTTGGGCTTTCCCCTCCTCAATAAACTACTCATCCCTCACATCTCTGGTGTGGAATGTGTGGCTCCCTGTGTCCCTGGAGGGACTGGAGGGCCTGTCATTTTCTCTCTCTCCTTGAAGACAGAACACATTTGGGTCTCTCCTTCACCCTCCCCAACTTACATGGACACTCTGGGGAGTGGAAGACTGAACCATGGCAGGCCGTGGTTCGTTGAGGGCAAGGTGGGAGCCTGATGGCTGTGAACCTGCCCCCGGGTCCCCAGAGGGCTGCCTTGGGATTCAGCCCTCACGCTGCCCTGCCACAGCCCGGATGGCACAGGACGGCTCCATCCTAGTGAAAGCCCTAAGCAAGCTGGCCAAAATCCATCCCGAGGGACAGCTGTCCTCTTTCTCCCTTCAACCCCCTGGACAATGGGAGCCCAGGGTCCCCGCCAGTGGCCGGGCTTCCTGTGAAGCAGCTACTTGGAGCCAGCTAAGGTAGAGAGGAGTGAAGAAGAAGAGAAAGAAGAGGAGAAGGCAGGAGGGAACGGGCAAAGGGAGGGCCGTGTGGCCCGAGGAGGACACTCACGCTGCCGGGGTGGACTGGTGTGCGCTGGCCACCTCGGTGGGCTGCCTTGGGCCTGGTGGACAGAATTTCCTGGGGTTTGCTGTGGCTCCCTGCAGCTCCCTGCCCCGGCACTGCTTTCCCCAGCCACTGGCCCTCGAGGAGCACCCTCCCGAATGCCCATCGGTTACAGGCCTCCCCTGCCCGACAGCTTCCCTGGCCTTCTTTAGGACCCGTCCCTGGGGCCGAAAGGACAAAGAAGTCACGCTTCTGGGATCCAGGGCTTTCTAGACTCTGAGTCCCCTGGGCTCTGCCCAAGGCCTCTGCTCTAGAGGAGGGAGCAGCTGACAGCTGCCTCTTGGGCAGGGACAGCCAGGCTGCAGCCTGACCTGGGCTGGGGTGTCCTCAGGGCTGCCCCCTGCCATGTGGAGGTGGGCTTGGTGTGAAGTCACCTGCCCCGAGGCCCTGGGCCTGTGCTAGGAACTGGACGAGGTCATCTTTGAGCCCAAGCCGCCGCCCTCATCAGTCCCCACCAGTTCCCTTATGCCCAGAGCTGTGACTGCAGTCAGGGAATCCTTTCTTCCCAGTTCTGAGGATGCCTTCCCTACCAGCATGAGTGGAAACAGGAGGCCTCTAGCAGGTCCCAGGGCTTGGAGTGGGAGGCATCTCCCCTAGAAGGGGCGAGGACGGAGATTAGCAGAGCTCCGTTGCCTCTCTGAGCTGAGGCCCCTTTCCTCCCCAGGCTATGGGCTGGAGGCTGTTCTGGGCAGCATGTGGCAGTTGGCTGGCTCAGCCAGGAGCAACCCTGGTGAGGGGCTTGGGAGACCTGGCTCCTCATCCTGACTCTGTCACTTCTGGCTTTGATGTCATCATTTGAGGGGTCCTTTCCTAGATCCACAGCCCATGAGATGAAGACCACAGCAAGGAGGGCTGGGTGCCACTGGAACGTTGAGCTCGGTTGAAACCTCAGGCTCTGTGTGCTTGGCTGCACTGAGAGCGGAAGGTTGGACTCCAAGGCCCCAAGACTCCCATCATGCATTGCCAACACCTGCTTTCCTTTAGACCTGACCATCAGGGGGCTCTGAGAGGCCTTCCTGTCCAATGGGAAAAAAAAGCGGAGCTCTCAGCAGCTTCCAGGCCCTGCTTGCACCTCCAGGACCCCTGGTGATACCAGTGACAATTCCGTTTTGCTTTAAAGCAGTGCCCAGCACCTGGACAGGCTGGAGGGGAGGGGTAGGGGTGGAGTGCTGGGACGCAGCTACTGCGGGGGGTGGGGGTGGGGTTTGAGGGTGAAAGGAGATGGGGAAACCCCTCGAAGGGTGACTGGGGTACTTCATGGTGTGGGGAGCTGAGACACCACACCGTGCGCAGTTGGGAGCCCGACCACACACTGGGATCCTGGCGGTGCCACCCACCAGCTGCACGACCTCGGGCAATCTGCCCAGCCTGCCAGAGGGGATGACAGCTTAAAGGATTGTTGTGAGCAACAAAAGCAATGTGACAAAGACTGCGTGCTCAGTATGGAGAGATTATTATTATCATTGTCGAATAAACAAAACAAAGCATAATGACAACATCCCAACCCTCGAAAGCCCGAGTTTCCCGTCCCTTTTAACCGCCTGCATTTGTGGAAACCTTGTGGGAGCAGCCGGCCTGGTTTCCCATTTCTCAGCCGGCTGCAGGACCAGCTCCGAGGTTCCTGCAGTTTTGAGATAAGACCAGCAGGTGGCAGCATTTCACCACCTCAAAGGGCAATAAGCCTCCTTCCCAGCCCAGGCAGTCTGGAGATGTGCCACAGCCCTTGTGTTGGGTGGCCAGGCCCATTCTTTATTTTGCGTTAGCTAGCTAACCTGATGTTTCTGGCCTGGCAGACCTGCAACCTGAGCCCCCGGTCCTTACCCAAGTGGGCGTGGAGGCCGCTGGTTGAGTGGGGTTGGGGAAGATCCCTTCTGCATGGGCACCATCCCGAGCTCTGTCTTCAGGGGCCTGGCCGGAGGAGGGGCTGGGTGGGCGTGCCAGCTTCATGCCTTAGCTCCGTCCTTGTCCCATCAAACCTCATATCCGTCGGTGTCGAGGCAGTTTTATCTCTCTGAGTATTGACTATTATGTTTCACAATGAGCTGTTGTTCAGCCACATAAACAAGGGAGATAAACGCTAATTGCTTGGTGGATGTGCCAACTTCTGGTTCCTAATTCATCACCTTGCCAAGGCGGGGAGGCAGAGAGGAGGAGAGTGGGGCCTGGGACCTTTGGGGCCAACGGATCTCTATTTCAGGAGGACGTGGTAGCGAGTTGGTGAGCCAGGACCCCCTTCCCTGAGGGGTTCCTGAGGACGGAGCCAGGAGACCGAGCGAGGGCCTGGAGGTCTCTGGCTCATGACCATCAGTGAGTTAATCTCAAATGGACAAGTGATTGGTCTCCTTGCTGGCTTGTGGTCGGGCCTTGGTACCAAACTCAGCATTTCTCTAAGGCTGGTCCAGTTCTCGGTGGGGCTGAATCAGTGGGCTGCAAACCCATCACTGTCACCTTGCAAGAGCTGATCTGGCTGTGGGCACCGCAGCCCTGGGGAGCCTTGTGGAAAAGGACTCTGTATTCTTTCGAGGAGGAAGTGTCACGTATCTGATGGATGAGGGCTCTGGGCTGGACCAGATGAGCTCAACCCAAGTTGGGCTCACTGCACAGGCCCAAATGAGAGAGAAGTGCAGGGGTCTCATGGAAGGGTGCAAGGGAGGAGACCTTCATTCCATGGCAGACACAACTGGGCCTCCGTGCCAGAGGCCCTGCTTCCATGGATTCAAACAACCATGATGGAAAGCGTGAGCAAAAGAATTGCATCTGTACTAGACAGGTAAACTTTCCCGTGTCATTATTCCCCAAACAATACAGCGTAACCACTATTTACATGCCATTTACATTGTATTAGACACCCGTGACTGAGAGAGGATTTAATGTATCCAGGAGGACATGCACAGATAGGTTCTGTGTGTTTGCTGCACCGCTTTAAATAAGAGACTTGAGCATCGATGGAGCTCGGGATTCATGGGGTGGGGTCATGAAACTAATCTCTCGCAGGGACTGAGCAGCCACATCTGAGATGTGGCAAGATTTAGGTGTGGGCAGCAGGAGGCAAGCTGCTGCTGCAGGGAGCTGGCATCTAGGTAGAGTGGTGAGGATGGCATGGAGGATGGGCCCGTGGGTGGCGGGTACAGTGTGGGGCTGGGGGAGGTCTGTCTCTGCGGATGAGACCTCAGGGGTGAGACTAGAGGTGGGAAGATCTGTGAGGGCCAGAGAGTCTTGACTGGGAGATGCGTTCCCTTATGGGAGGAGGGCAATGGCCAGCCTGGCAGGCAGCGAGGCTGGAGGACCCGATCAAGCAGCCCCTGTAAGCTCACAGGCTGGGTCTGGGGAAGGTCCAGGGTCCCGGTCAGTACTCTGAAAAAGGGCTCAGGAGGCAGCGAGAGCGGAGGTCGAGATGAACCAGGTGGTGACTCCAGACGTCGGCAACACCACTGACTGTGGCAGGGGATGGCTGGGACCCAAGCAGGGCTCAGAGCAGGATGCAGAGGCCGGGGAATGGCTTACGGCAGAGGACTGGGGCAGAGAGGGATCCAAGGGGAGCAGGTCCTAGCTGCTGCAGGGGACCCCCCCCCGGGGGGGGGGAGCAGGGTGCAGCTCACTGCTATAGGCTGGGGCAGAGGAACTTGTGCTATGGGGTGGATGTGGAACAGCGACCCAATCACAGTTCACCTGCTACCTGTGCCCATATGGCACACAGCAAGCTGTTCTGAGCTGAATCTTGATGCTGCTTGGCAATATCTGGGTCAGCAGAACAAAGTGCTTATTCTCCCTGCTCCTCAGTTTTCTTATCTGTGAAATGGGGCTAATAGTGATCGATAGAGTTTTCGAGAGGATTAAATAAATGAAAGGAAGTAAAGGACAATCACCCCCACGAACAGCTGTTTAATAAACAGGTAGAGAATTGGGCAGAGCGTTGGCGTTTTCTCTGCCCTCACCTGCTCTTTTCTGTCCCCTATCTTCACTGGTGGCAATGGGGGCATGTGAATCCAGCCTGCTATCTCCTCCAGGCCATCTAGCTATGTCTGCAGGGGGACTGGCTGGGCCTGAGCCCTTCTTTCCAGTGGGCATGCGGCCACACGCCCTTAGGGCTGTGCCCGGCAGGGGAGCCAGACCGCAGGAGGGACAGAGGCGAGTCTCCCTCCTCTGAGTGTACGGGGCCGGCCACTACATGCACGGGTGGCCGGGGTAATTAATTTACACATTTCATCCTGCTTAAACTAATAAGCTTCTTTATCCTCCGTGGCTGAGCTGAGCCTTCATGCTGGGCCTGCTGGAGACGTCGTCTGGTACCCAGGGCAGGCGACGCTCCCTTCTGGTGTTCCTGTCCCAGCCAAAGGTTTCAAGTCCCGGCTCCCAAGGCTGCTTGTTTTGGCTCACTGGTCGTCAAATGCCACAGAAGCCATCTAAGGTACCAGTCAACA